CTGGGCGAGGTCTTGGGAGTTCCTCAAAGTCCACCGCTCGCACCACCCGGGTTCTTCCGTAACAGAGGATTCCTGTGACAGAATGAATATTCTAAAGAGAAGAGAGGTCTGATTCGTACGTAAACAAGTTGAAATAATTTTAATGATACATTTTCCGGTGATGTGTTTCTTCGCATGCTCTCGCTTTTCTCTCTTGATACAGGACGAGGAACAGCGCGCCAAAATGATGCTTTTCACGTCATCGCTCGATGTCTTTCTTAATGCTCAAGGTTTATCGAATATCGATCGTATCGAACGCATACAGCTCATCTGGGTTTTTCGAGGCGTCTCTCCGTGATTTCTGCAGCAATTTTATACAAACGAAAATTTCCTTCTATGTGGGTCACAACTGTCGTCTGTCGGAGACTGAAACAAACCATCTGCTTTGGCTTGAAGACGACGACGCTATCGGTGATGTACCTTCTTCGTCTCGCGGACGATGTTGCCTAATAATCTACAGAAATGAACACATCGAACCGAAAATCGAGCGGAGTGTCACCGACACTCCTCTAACTCCATCATCCAGAGTTCAACCTGCAGCCGTATCTGAGAACTTCGTGTTTTTTATGATGTCGCTCCGTGTTTGTCTGTGGCTCCCACGAGGACTCGACGAAAGCTTCTTCGTCAAGCCTCCAGGGATCAGACACAAAACTGTCCGGCTCGTTCAATGAATGGAAGGGTATTCCGACCGGAAGTTCCCATGTTTAATATAATTGCCCAACACAAACGAAAAATTGGAAAAAACCTAAAGAGCAGCTTGTTGCGAGATCATCGAATCCTCGAATCGAGGTAAGGCAGCAGTCTTGCCGCCAATGGCACCGCTCTGCCCTGAGAACCGACGTTAGAAATCGTTCAATTCGACTGCAAGTTGCACTCGGCGCCTCTCTCTACCGGCGGAAATTTCTCATCGTCCGGTTTCTTCCGTGACAGCTTCAACTCAATGGATTACATTTTCACATCGTTTGATTCCATCGATTCACACTCGTTGATTTCGCTTCACAATAACAGGATGCCCATCGAGAAAACGTACAATGAATATTTGTGAGAGATGCTGCCGACCCCCGTCGACGATGACGACGACGGTGAGGGAGTGAAGGGGTCAATTAACTGCTGCAGCGGGAGTGATTGGCCGGGGGTCAGCTCGCGGCTCTTTCGGATTGTGGCTTTATGTGGATATATCGATGATAGAAAATAATGTAATAAAAATAAGTTATGATTCGTCGATGAGCCCAATCTGAATGATCTGAGTGAGACCGATCGAATCACTCGCAGTCGTTATCGTGATAGAAAGAAGAGCCGTACTCGATGAATATAATGCTATCGCTCTTAACAGAAAACCTCATCATGCATCCATCCATTCCGTGAACGTAGCGTATCAATGTAAAAACGTTTTAACTACGTGCTCACATTCGAAAACTTTCATCGCTTGATACTCTCAAGTCTCGTATCGTTGTATCTTCAAGTTGTACATTCAGCGCTCCTCCGCAACAACACTCAAATGTATGCGCTCCGAAACATTTTTATCCTATCCTAGCAGAGTTATACTGTACAAGATGCCAGCTTCAACCTCCCCGGAGATAAGTCCCCGCGCACAATCATCGCACGCAAATAACTACGCTCGCTCAGAGAGCTGGGTAAGAAGTAGAAAAGATTGAAGTTTAAGGAAAGGTTTCAGAAATTTGGGATAGACATGAGAAAACGAACAAACATACTCAGGTGGTTTCGTCAGACTCTAAGCTCGACGAGGAACCATCAAAACATCATCGGCATCAGTGTTTGGGAGCCAGCCGGCGTCACCACGCTGGGATTGATATTACTCCTCGTTCTAGTTACAGCGATTCGAGTAACCGACCGACCGAGCGAGTGAATGATTTCGCAGCGGAGCGAGGAGAATATGATAAGTGAACAGTCGATCGATCGGCCAGCTTCTAAGGATCGATCGATGGATCGATTCGATGACGTATGGCAAGATGAGGCGAACGAGCTCGCGTACGTCGAAGACGCCATGGCGATCGAGAAACGTGCCACCAGATTGTCAAAGTTCCAGACTAAAATAAATAAGAGGGAGGGCGCAACGAGAAGAGATGGTTCCGAGAGGACGAGCTCAAGAGAGATAATGGTGTCCGGCTGCTGTCACCGATCTCTCGACTGTGTACTCGTAGAGCGGGCCGGCCAGCCAGCCCTCAATGAACACGGCTGCTCGTGAATCGGACGAAAGATGTCGCGAGAGAAAAAAACTGAGGACTTTGAGCTTTTTTGCGGGATATCTGCGGTTGTTCATCGGATAGCAGGTTCGGCATGTCTGTGATTCGGCCGGCAAGCTTGCTGACCGCGCTTCGAAAAGGATACCCGATCTCGTAATCGAGTGAACACGAATTCTTCTTGAAGGAAAAAACAAGCATCAGAATTAGGACCTTCATATGCATGTTGCATAAAATGAGCGACAGTCCTGCTGCCAAAACCGACTGCTCATGAGGAAGAGTAACTTTCCACATGGAGCAATGAGGTCCTCACCGCTTTACAAATGATATGTCGTTCGACGAACCGGATATATGTACATGAATCGATATCGATACAGAGGTAGACAAGGCACATTGACCTCGTTCCTCGAACAAGCAATTCTTCCCATTCCTCCAGCGCGGAAATGCGTCGATACGAGTACCGGCTCAGGGAGACGCTGCGAGTTCAGAATGAGAGAAGAGTTCGCATCTAGCGATCTAGTCTCTACGTAGGTAGCTCGCGATCCAGCGAGCCAGAAGGGAAGGAAACGAGCATTCTGTGAGAGTGCGCGTGTTTGCCGACCGAAGGACCCGTCGACCGGTCGCTCGCTCGCACAGTCCACAGTAAGCAAGCAGCCCGGCAGCTATTTTTGACAGATCGCCGCTGCCGCCAGCATCATCGCCGTAGGTGCGGCGGAGACCGGCTGGCTGTGGCACGGAGTATCACATGGTGTGTGGTACTTTCGAACCCCAACTGACAGCTGTGGTACTCTGTCGAGCCACAGAATCTGACAGGTGGACCGGTCGCTAGCGGCAGCGACGCATGCTGCAGAGCGCAGACATCACGCCATGCCGAAGCATTCCATATAGAGAGCACGTGGTGCTTCCTCTAACATCTACTTTCGAGCCAATGCAATTAAGTTTTCTTGAACACAACTCCGAGGTGGGCCTTCCGAGAGGCATCTCCAACGAGCAGCTGGTACAGCCGTGCGGTCGAATAGGCCAGCAAGAACCGCGAGAAACCCCCTCCGAGCTCGATACGAGACATCAGGTTTTGCTCGATCATACCGCTTCAAGAGCCAGAGTGGCAAGTTCTGTGCTCGGGTACAATTCTACGTACCATGGGCAAGATCGGCGACGAACTTGAATTATTTTCCCAGAGCTTTTGCTTGCTCTGTGAACGATTGCCGAATCTCGATAGTATCGGGAAGGGCTCCGATCGAGCCATTGACATACCGATTCGAGGAAATGGGAAACGAAAGCGAAAGAAAAAAATATGCTATCGATCCGAACGCCCGCCAGGCTCCCGGTGAAAAGCTCATCGAAATCACCCGAAAGTATACACACTCCCCAATGGGAATTTCCAGAGTCAGAAATCGCGGTTGCACTCAGCAATGCGGATGATTTTCTCTCCCGAAAATTAGCCGCTCGCCCCGACCGATGATTTGTTGTTGAGTAGTACGAATATTGCTCGAAGTACGAATGTAAGTTAATTGAAATGAGTGATACACTTTGCTGTGTTAGCGAAATGATCTCGCATACCGCGATATAAGATAGAGAGATACAGATGCACAGCAGAAGGAGACGGGGATAGAAAGAGTATGTCCTTTAAAAATCCTAAGGAAAGACTAAGATACACTCGTGATGATACGACGACACATGAAGCGCTACTGACGCTGATCCCCGTGATTTCCTGCGGCTTCCTGTTACTTCTCGATGGTCTTCCGCTTCAGTTTGATGGGTCGTATCGATGTGCTCAAAGTGAATGCCATTGCAGATTTCCATTCATATTCGACGGTGAGCGGTGGCGGCGGTGTTGTCACTTCGTAGTCGCCAATATTCAAACAACGGAGGAAGCACCATGGACAACCACCAGACGACTACCACCACTCGAGTTGGGATAACTGGCTTCGGAGTAGCGGACTTAATTGTTCACCGCTGAGTAGACTGCTGACTGCTGATCCAACGACCCATCCAATGGAGAAGGAAAAAAACACGGTCGCGATTGATAAGAGTCCTCTTCGAAAAAACGAATGGGCTACTGACTGCAGCCATTGAAATAGTAGCTCTAGAACGTTCAACAGCGACTATTCGTTCCGGAGAATCGGAGTGTAGTCTTGAGAGAATGCTTTCACTTTGCGTATCGGCAGGGCCGTTAGTGTCGTACTGGTCGTCGTCGTGAGTTTTCGGCGTAGATCTGTCTTGCGAGCGATGACTCTGCTTCGAATCCGCTCATCGAGATCTCTGTCGCCTTCTCCGAAAATATCAGCGTTAATTCCATCATCATCATCATGATTTCACCTCATCGTGTTCTGTCGATTTCGGTGAAGTTTGAATTGAGCAACTGTCCAACACTTGCTGCCAACGTCGTCGTCGTCATCCAAAGGCTGACGCTCCGCTGGCTAGCTCGATTGTGAATATGACTCCTGTCAGAGTCGTTTCGAGGCACTATGTAGGAGCGTAGATATCGCGAACGTTGTTGGGGTTGTTCTTTGTCGTCGTCGTTTCTTCTTCCTTCTCTCTTTCCCGTATCCTTAACAGTATTCCTCGCTTATCCGGTGCACCTCTACGGTAAACTCGATGCTGAAGCGATAAGCGGGTGCCGTCGTCGCACCGAGAGACGATTTACAACAACAATAATCTGGAACAGTGTTCCATGTACGTGTGGGGCTTGAGGTGGGGGTTCAGGAAAGGCGGAAGCACCGATCGAGGGAGGCGTCCCAACGCTCAGCTCCGCTCAAATCACAGATTTTTCTGCTTGTCGAGCTCACGGATGGCTACTTCGACAAGCATCAAGAAACTCTTGAACTCCTCCTTGTGCTGGATCGACGATATCGATTGCTTGGTTCGCTGACGTTTCGGAGACGGCGGCGGTGGCGACGGAGTGTAGATTCCGGTGTCATCCGAGCACTCCTCGTCGTCGTCCGAAAGTCTCTTGCGTTTTCCAGAACACTGATCTTGCTCGTGACTCCTTTGCCAGCGAGCTGTGAGTTTGAGCGGCATCTGGCCATCTCGTCGAGTGAGCGAGTCCGACGACGAGTCGTCTTCGTCCATCAGCCTGTCCGAGTCGGAATCGACCAGCTCGGCGTCGTCGTCCTCGTCGTCTTCGACTGAGCCGTCGGCCGAAGACATCGGTGACGGGGAAGCGATGTATGAATGGTGGTTAAGTATGGCCGTGGTGCGATGGATCGACGATGGATATTTTGTAGAGGATGTCGACGACGTCGAAGAAGACGACGACGAGCCCGACCTGTGACTGGATGCGCTTGAGCCGGCCGGAGAGCCACCTTGAGATCCGCCGCCGTTTCCACTGGCGCTGGCCCCGCCGCCGGCACCCACCCTGCGAGTGATCGTGTACTGCATGGGGTCCTGACCCTCTTTGCGGATCATTTCCGGCAGGATCCGACGACGAGCGTTGATGAACCAGTTACAGACTTGGAGAACACTCAAGCCCGTTTCTTTGCTGAGATATATTTTCTCCTGATCGCTTGGATAAGCGTTGTAACGATGTTCGTACAGCCACAATCTCAGTAGTTTCACGGATTCTTTGGGCAGATTGCCTCTTCGTTTACGTGCCGCCGCCGCCGCCGCAGCGGCCGCCGCGGCAGCTGCCACAGCCGAAGGAACAGAAGATGCTGTTGAAGGCGAAGTTCCTGTTGCCGACGCAGACGTCATTGGAGCCATCGTCATACCGTCTGTCGACTGTGTCGTTGAATATAGATCGCGTATAGGTCTTTCGATTGTCGAGCTGTTTCCGTATGCTTCGCTCCTGATTCGTCTCTTGATGAGTGGAAAGTTGGCGCTCTCCTCGAGCGCTTCAGAAAATATTCACGTAGATTTCAGGCTAGCACTGACACTGAAGTCCACAAAAGTTCGAGCACCCGGATCAGCGCGTCGATGCGATCCAGACCGCCACGGACGTAACACACAAGGCCTATTAGGCGCCTAAAACGATCGCGGTGACGCGGAAAACCCGCGCGATGCGGAGATCACGCTACTGCTTGATGGCAGCAGCAGCAGCGACACGGGAGCTGTTTTTGGCGGTGTCAGTGTTCAACGGCCAACGAGGGACCTCGTAGCGCGGAACTCAAGATCGACACCCAGGCGTTCGACGACTGAAGAAGCACTCGGTGGTCGTCTTTCGAGTTGAAGATGCTGTTGGAGGATGACGTACGCTGGTGACCGATGGCGCGGATTGTGACTTATTAATCCAACGGGCGAGAACGACACGGAACAAAAACAACGAGGGTCGACGACAGCACACAGCACTGAATGAACAATCACTGAAACTATTTGAGTTCACATCGTTCGTCGTTGTGGAGAGCAACACCCAGCACTGCTCGACTGGGAGAGCTTCAGATCGCGAGTTCACTCACACTTTAGATTTTCTGTCGGTCGGACGATCTCCAAACGGATCGATCGTTCGGAGTGGATGACCGACGATGAACTGACTGATTGATCGTCAAAACGCAAACTGGCAACTCGCGGGAACCGCTTCCTCAAACGTCCACAGCAGCTGCGAATGACTGACTGACTGAATGACTGCCCATGCAGCACGTGGTTCTACCAAGGCTGTCATCTTGGCGAGAGCATGAGAGAGGAGGATGAACACCACCATCACCACCACCAATGCTGCTGCGGCTGCCGCTGCCGCTTCTGGAGGCGGCAGCAGCACTGGCAGCCGCACCAGCGGCGGCGACATCAGTGCCCGCCGTAAAGCAACCAACCAGAGAACGAACTAAAGCATGAGAGAACAGTCTGCAGCAACAGGAATAGGACCACGTCGGTCTGTGTCAGTCCCGCCGTTCGCTCGTTCGTCCGTCCGTAGGTCCATCCACATGGCTGACGGTCGCTCGGCCGGCATGCCGCCGTTCATGTGTTTGTTGGCGTCAAAGAAAGAATCGCGAGTCCGGACGGTCGGGAGACTATTTGACAGTTGCAGGATTCCTGCTCTGCCCAACATAACTACTCGAGCACCTACGAGGTCGCAATAGCCCTTGCTAGGTCTAGTCTCGAGACTCCTGTTCGAACTGGATCTAGAGTCGTCTTCGTGGAGACCACTTTCGAGCAGAGTCATTGCCCGGACAGACAGCCGTCCTTGATCGAACTCACGCATCTGGTTTTGACAGAAGCGGTGAAGCTACCCCCCCGATCGGAGATGAAGCCGCACGATTTTCTGGAATCTCTAATCCGAGCTGTCTTCTCGAGATGACAGAACCCACATCAAGCAATCCTGACTGAGCTGGCCAGTGGTCGGTTCCGCATTGTTCTGAAGCATGCCTCAAACGATGCAAATCTTCGAAGAAGAATCCCCATCGAACTGTAATGAGCCGGTCACCCGAGTTCTTGAATTTCAGCATCCTGTTCCGCATAGGGCGCTCCGGCAGAGCACGAGTTTCGGCTAAATCCTCACGCCCGCCGACCCTCATCAAGGAACCCGTGAAGACATGTCTGTTTCATTAGAATCTCGAGACCAGAAAGTGGGGGAGCAGCGGCCGCGACCGCAGATCCGATTCGACTTATTGAGTAGAAGAAGAAGTGCGTGTGATTGGTTCTGTAGTCTCTATCTCGAGTCGACGCTTCGAGCAGAGGGGTCCGGCGCAGAGAATCAAGCGAAGCTTCATATTTCTGGACTGGGATGGGTTGCAATTTGCAACCCACGCTAATGACAACGAATACGCTGATCTCGGAGGGGAGGGGGGGGGCGGGGGTGAAGAGTGTGAAGGCACAAGAATCGAGAGAAAAACGGGGTTTGAGAAAATCATTCCGGGTGGGGGCTTCAAATCGACACCCGTTGTGCATTCCCCTCTGATTGAGACACTGAAGAGCCTGTCGTTGGGGCATGTTCTGAAACATTGGAAGTTTTCTGCTCGAACACGATGCTTCGCGTCTGATCTCCGAGTGATTTTCGCTTCAAGGCAGACAGGAAAGCATGCGGCGAGTCTGGTAACCCAACTATCTCCCAAGCCGCTGTCGTCGTTGAGCGAAGACCACGTGGTGGCTGGGGCTCTTCTCGAAACAGCTGTCACGATCTCACAGGGCCGTCAGTGACTATGGCGGAACTTCTGCAACAACGACCACGGCGACGATGACAACAACAATGAAAACGGCTACTCGTTCGGTCTGAACGGCGTATTATCAGACGAAATATTTTCCTCTCAATCGCTGCCGATCAGGACAGCGAGAAGATCAAAGTTCGGACATTGTTGCCGTTACGCTCTCGATATCGGCACAACATGCACATTGAGCTTTGGAGACGCTCAAGAACACGCAGGTGCAGGCTTCGAGATTTGGCGAGACGACGACGGCGAACGGTGTCGACCACGGACACTGACGAGCTGCCGGCCGGCGTCGCCTCAACCGAGTACCGAGCATATAATATAATGAAGAGCTTGCCAGTTTGAAGGCAGCAGTTCACGAGCCGTAAATTACGGCCCGTGGAGTTTTTAGAGGATTCCAGGAAGCATGTGAAGATCTTGGCCAAACTATCCGAGGTTTCCGACTCTGGGCTCTGCGAGCGGTGTTCGCGGTCTCCGAGAGACGATCACCGTTCGTCTTACCGTCCGAGTCTTCGGATGGGTCTTTCTGTCAGCAGAAAGCCTGTGGTTTGCTGTTGATTCGGCGGTCTTTCCGCTCATTTGTCACCGTCAGTCGAAGTCTGCCGGTCGGCTCGACGCCGTTTGGACAGTCGTGAATAAAGTGGTGATAGTACCGATCGCATCCTCCTCTCAAGATGATCGAAATAGACAGTGAAAGAACGGTCCAAGAAACGTTTCCATAGCAATCATATAACAAGAACGTCGGAGAAGATATGCGCCCGGCTAAGAATTACCGCATCCAGGTGGTGGCCATTATCTTCCACAAAGCAAGGTTGACCCACCGACAAACTCAACGAGATTGACTGATTGTCAACTAGTCAGCTGCTGAGGAATTTCCTTGTCGGTCGCAATCCCAAGAAGTCCTGGAATTCGCTGTTCGGAATTGTCGAAGGAAAATCGCTGCATGAAGAATACGGAGCTTCGCCGTCCCGTACGTTTCCATTGAACTTCTTGGTTGGTTTTCGATTCGGCCAATCCGAATTTCCTCCCTGGTCTGGAGCCGAGCCCCTCCGGGAGATTTCGGAAATCCACTCGTTCGAGGAAATCGCCGCTTGTTCCGGGAAGCCCAATCCTTTAGCAGGTGTAACGGTCAATGACAGCAGCATCGGAAACAATAACAACGCCAGTAGCGATGGAATTAGTCGAGAACACAGAGAGACTCATTCGAGAGCTGTGCTAGATCAGCGGCAATCACAATGCGCTTACTCCCGGCTTGACAGCGTCGTCAAAGCCGACCGGCCGGCTGCTTGGCAGGACCACAATCTGGCCAGGCAGATAGTCCGTCAAGCGGCTCGTGGACCGTGAGGTGGGCCCGGGCCTAAGGTCCGCTGCCGCTCTAGCTGGGGCCATGCTGATGGTCGAGTCAAGCGAACGTCATCTGGAGAATGTGCCCTTTGCCAAAAACAGGTTCACTCACTACCAGGCTGCGCCAGCTAGCCAGCCAGCCGAGCAACCCACCAAGCCATAGGCAGTGGGACCTATGTCGTTCCTCCGGGGCGAGAGAAGACATTCACTCATGATACGGTTCTTTAAGAGTTGGCAGGCCGCTAGGCTGGCAGGCAGAGCCGAAAACGTCGAAGATCTTCCTTCCTCCTTCGCTGTCATTGGACGACAGAATGACGTTGGAGCAAGCTTCCCTCGGTCTGTCACTGGGAAAAGAAGGACGGACGGACCGACCGACGGACAGACGTCCACGGTAACGGCATCAACTCGAACGCGAGAGCTATCTCTTGAGTCTACTGGCTCTCACGCATCGTCCGGGCCGTCGTTGCTGTCGACGATAACAACAGCGACGACGACGACGACGACGACGGAAACTACCTCGATGACAACAACGTCAAGCACGTTATCGCGCGCTCTTGTGACTCTCCGGCTCTTCCCTACGATTGGTCGCCGATCGATTGGTTGGTCGGTCGGCCGTCCGTCCGTCCTGCCTTTGCGTGGCCTGGAAATGGGCACGTGGACGCGGTGCCGACGACAGCGCTTTGACACTGACAGCCCGAATCGGGTCCGATTCAAGAGCAGCCGAAGCATTCAGTAACCCTGTCTGCTTGCTTGCTTGCCTGCCCGCCGCCTGCTCGGCTGCCTGAGAAGGTCCGGGTGGGTCAAACAAGGAGATTTCTACACACTGATTACAGCGAACTGACTGAGTGAGTCGAGAGACGGAACATCTTGCCGAGAGCTGTTCTGTCACAGCACAGCGCTCTCGAAGCCAAAGAATGGAAAGAGGACGGCATCGTGTTTTGAACATATTTGACATTTCTTTATAGAGCTTGCCTGGGCTTGACTCTGGGCTCTGTCAGCCAGACCGCGGTGGCTGACCTGTTGTCTGGCCACCTCCGGTCTTACCGCACTCTCTCAAGTTGCCCTCGAGTCCGACACACTTGCCAGAAGTGGGGAAGCCGTCTCAATTAGACGATTGTCTGCCTGATTTGGAAGATCTCCGATAGTCACGGAGGTCTTCTAAACGACTGGCGCTGTTTGAAGCTCGGAAAAAAACAACACGGTGGCTGTCGAAGCTTCAAGCTCGCGGACCCACCAAGCGAACGAAATTGTGGTTTCAAGTCTGACTGAGCCGGCCGCATT